ATCGTTACTTAGGGCCACAGAAATGCTAGTTAGGGCCACAGAATTGTTACTCAGGGACATCAGAATTGTTACTGAGGGCCACAGAATTGTTACTTAGGGCCACAGAAACGTTACTCACAGGGCCACAGAATTGTTACTGAGGGCCACAGAACTGTTACTTAGGGCCACAGAAAAACGTTAGTTAGGGCCACAGAATTGTTACTCAAGGACAGACACAGAATTGTTACTGAGGGCCACAGAATTGTTACTTAGGGCCACAGAATCGTTACTCAGGGACACAGAATCGTTACTGAGGGCCACAGAACTGTTACTTAGGGCCACAGAAACGTTAGTTAGGGCCACAGAATTGTTACTCAGGGACAGACACAGAATTGTTACTCAGGGACACAGAATTGTTACTGAGGGACACATAATTGTTACTGAGGGCCACAGAACCGTTACTTAGGGCCACAGAATTGTTACTCAGGACAGACACAGAATTGTTACTGAGGGCCACAGAATTGTTACTTAGGGCCACAGAAACGTTACTCAGGGCCACAGAATTGTTACTGAGGGCCACAGAACTGTTACTTAGGGCCACAGAAACGTTAGTTAGGGCCACAGAAGAATTGTTACTCAAGGACTAGACACAGAATTGTTACTGAGGGCCACAGAATTGTTACTTAGGGCCACAGTTAATCAGTTACTCAGGGACACAGAATCGTTACTGAGGGCCACAGAACCTGTTACTTAGGGGCCACAGAATTTTAACTTAGGGCCACAGAATTGTTACTCACAGAATTGGGACAGACACAGAATTGTTACTCAGGGACACAGAATTGTTACTGAGGGACACATAATTGTTACTGAGGGCCACAGAACCGTTACTTAGGGCCACAGAATTGTTACTCAGGGACAGACACAGAATTGTTACTGAGGGCCACAGAATTGTTACTTAGGGCCACCACAGAACAGAATTGTTACTCAGGGACACAGAATTGTTACTGAGGGCCACAGAACTGTTACTTAGGGCCACAGAATTGTTACTCAGGGACACAGAATTGTTACTCAGGGACAAGAACACAGAATTGTTACTGAGGGCCACAGAACTGTTACTTAGGGCCACAGAAAAGTTACTCAGGGACACAGAATTGTTACTGAGGGCCACAGAACCGTTACTTAGGGCCACAGAATTGTTACTCAGGGACACAGAATTGTTACTGAGGGCCACAGAACCGTTACTTAGGGCCACAGAATTGTTACTCAGGGACAGACACAGAATTGTTACTGAGGGACACAGAATTGTTACTGAGGGACACAGAATTGTTACTGAGGGCCACAGAACCGTTACTTAGGGCCACAGAATTGTTACTCAGGGACAGACACAGAATTGTTACTGAGGGCCACAGAATTGTTACTTAGGGCCACAGAAACGTTACTCAGGGACAGACACAGAAATTGTTACTCAGGGACACAGAATTGTTACTGAGGGCCACAGAAACGTTACTTAGGGCCACAGAAACGTTACTCAGGGGACACAGAATTGTTACTGAGGGCCACAGAACCGTTACTTAGGGCCACAGAATTGTTACTCAGGGACAGACACAGAATTGTTACTCAGGGACACAGAATTGTTACTGAGGGCCACAGAATTGTTACTTAGGGCCACAGAATTGTTACTCAGGGACACAGAATTGTTACTGAGGGCCACAATTGTTACTTAGGGCCACAGAATTGTTACTCAGGGACAGACACAAAATTGTTACTCAGGGACACAGAATTGTTACTGAGGGACACAGAAATGTTACTGAGGGCCACAGAAATTGTTACTGAGGGCCACAGAATTGTTACTGAGGGACAGACACAGAATTGTTACTGAGGGCCACAGAATTGTTACTTAGGGCACAGAACGTTACTCAGGGCCACAGAATTGTTACTCAGGGACACAGAATTGTTACTGAGGGCCACAGAAACGTTTACCTCAATTGTTACTTAGGACACACATAATTGTTTAATTACAGAGTACTGTCAGACAACATGCATTGTTACTGAGAGGACACAGAATTGTTTTTAGGAGCCACAGAATTGTTACGTGGACACAGAATGTTTACTCAGGGACATTTGCAGCCAGAATTGTTACTCAGGGACACAGAATTGTTACTCAGGGAAGAGCTAACAGAAGGCGGTACTCAGGACACAGAATTCCGCCTCTTCACAGGCGAAATTGTTACTGAGGGACCACAGAATTGTTACTCAGGGTCTAGAGACATAATTCTTACTCACTGACCCACACGACAGAATTGTTACTGAGGGCCACAGAGAATGTTACTGAGGGCCAAAGAAATGTTACTGAGGGACACAGAATTGTCAGCCTACGAGGGACACAGAATTGTTACTGAGGGACACAGAATTGTTCTCAGGGCCAAAAACGTGTTACTCAGGACACAGAATTGTTACGAGCAAAACACACAGAATTGTTACTCCAGGGACCACCAATAGCTGTTACTCAGGGAACATAATCGTTTAATTAAAAGTATGTCAGACACATGCAGAGGAGTGGCAGAGGATTGTGGAGAGCAATTTTTGTTTTATATTGGGAGCAGAGCAGACGTGGCCTCCCACTAGAGGAAGGGGCCAGGCCCCTAATTGCCATGGGCCCCTATATGCTCCCGGTGTCATTTCCAGTACAGTGAGGTCAGATGTCTAACAGAGGGCCCTGTACGGGGGGAGACATCCGCCTCTTCAGCAGTCTCCAGGCGAAGACACTCTGCCAGTGGCGAGGAGAAGTGTCTCGGTCACACGGTCTAGAGGACAGTGTCTGAATCTCCTGACCCACAGGGTGCAGGGCCGAGGGGGCTAGTAGTGCCAGGCGGAGACCCTAATTGATGATGATGAGGCTGATCGCACTTGGCAGCCCCGTCGTCATCAGGCTATTGCTTCCGCATCATCAGAGATCTCACATGGGGCAGCTTGCAGCGAGCAAAACAGTCGGTGCTGCTGTCTCCATCGCCACACTCTGCCATGTGCCACTTTCAGGTCTCCTCACACACTTGCTGGTGTGTGTTGAATTTTTTGACATAGGGTGCTGGCAGATTACGGGCCTCCCATAATGCTGCCAGGCCCCTAATCTGCCATGGGCCCCTATATACCGCCTCCTCATGCTGCTGCCAGGTTCAGAGTCTGTCATGGGTCCCTGTACGGCCTCCCATTGCTGCTGTCTCCATCGCCACACTCTGCCATGTGCCACTTTCAGGTCTCCTCACACACTGCTGGTGTGTTGAATTTTTTGACATAGGGTGCTGGCAGATTACGGGCCTCCCATAGCTGCTGCCAGGCCCCTAATCTGCCATGGGCCCCTATAAATACCGCCTCCTCATGCAGCTGCTGCCAGGTCCAGAATCTCTCATGGGTCCCTGTACGGCCTCCCATTGCTGCTGTCTCCATCGCCACACTCTGCCATGTGCCACTTTCAGGTCTCCTCACACACTGCTGGTGGTGCCGGGTTTTTTGACATAGGGTGCTGGCAGATTACGGGCCTCCTATAGCTGCTGCCAGGCCCCTAATCTGCCATCAAGGGCCCCTATATAACCGCCTCCTCATGCTGCTGCCAGGTCCAGAGTCTGTCATGGGTCCCTGTACGGCCTCAGCATTGCTGCTGCTGTCGCCATTTTTTCGTGCCACACTCTGATAAAGTGCCACGGTTCAGGCCTCCTCACACTGCTGGTGTGTTCCATTTTTTGTCATAGGTGCTGGCAGATTACGGGCCCCATTGCTGCTGCCAGGCCCGTAATCTGCCATGGGCCCCTGTACCCTCTTCATGCTGCTGCCAGGTCCAGAGTGTGTCATGGGTCCCTGTACGGCCTCCCATTTGCTGTCTGCCAGCCAGTGCCAGCAGGTCTCCGCAGCAGTGTCTGGTGTGGAATTTTTTGCCACGGGTGTGGCAGCACGGGCCTCCACTGCAGCTGCTCGGCCAGGCCCCCTAACTGCCAGTAGTGGTGCCGGTGCGCACGGAGGAAGTGTCTCAGCAGTCCATGTCCATCCAGTGAGAGTAGCGGGGGCAAAGTTTTCCTACTCGGCGGTGTGGCACACTGTTTTTCTTCAGCCGCTTTCGAGGAAGTAAACGTAGCCTTGTCACATGCTATTGTGGCCAGAAAGGCCAAGCGTGGCCAGGGGGCCCATTTGTAGCTGGGACTACAGCGTTGCATCAGCATATGCAGCGTCGCCATTCGGTGGCCTGGGAAAATCCAGGTGTTAAATATACGGCCAACTGGTTTCTGCCAGGCCCCCATGGGCCCAGGGTTCCCATTTGTCTCATAGGTCTGCCTGGCCAGATTACGGGCATCCATTGCTGCTGCCAGGCCTTAATCTGCATGGGGGCCCTGTACCCGCCTCCTCATGCTGCTGCCAGGTCCAGAGTCTGTCATGGGTCCCTGTACGGCCTCCCATTGCTGCTGTCTCCATCGCCACAGCTCTGCCATGTGCCACTTTCAGGTCTCCTCACACACTGCTGGTGTGAATTTTTTGAACATTGTTTGACAGAACAGGGTGCTGCTGGCAGATTACGGGCCTCCCCATAGCTGCTGCCAGGCCCCTAAATCTGCCATGGGCCCCTATACCATGGGCCCCTATTAAAGCCTCCTCATGCTGCTGCCAGGTCCACAGTCTCTCATGCCATGTGCCACATTCATGGTCTCCTCACACACTACTGGTGTGTTGAATTTTTTGACATAGGGTGCTGGCAGATTACGGGCCTCCCATAGCTGCTGCCAGCCCCTAATCTGCCATGGGCCCCTATATACCGCCTCCTCATGCTGCTGCCAGGTCCAGAGTCTCTCATGGGTTCCTGTACGGCCTCCCATTGCTGCTGTCTCCATCGCCACACTCTGCCATGTGCCACTTTCAGGTCTCCTCACACACTGCTGGTGTGTTGAATTTTTTGACATAGGGTGCTGGCAGATTACGGGCCTCCCATTGCTGCTGCCAGGCCCGTAATCTGCCATGGGCCCCTATATACCGCCTCCTCATGCTGCTGCCAGGTCCAGAGTCTCTCATGGGTCCCTGTACGGCCTCCCATTGCTGCTGTCTCCATCGCCACACTCTGCCATGTGCCACTTTCAGGTCTCCTCACACACTGCTGGTGTGTTGAATTTTTTGACATAGGGTGCTGGCAGATTACGGGCCTCCCATTGCTGCTGCCAGGCCCGTAATCTGCCATGGGCCCCCGTACCGACTCCTCATGCTGTGACGTTGCAACAAGGTGGAATTCAACCCTACATATGTTAGACCGCCTTTACGAACAGCAAAAGGCTATCACCGATTTCCTGATGTTAAAAGCGGATAAAGGTACTCCCTGTGTAACTTAGATGTCAGCCATTGGCAGCTCATGCGTGACACCTGCGCTTGCTCAGGCCCTTTGAGGAGGCCACGCTATTCGTGAGTCGGCAGGACTATGGGAATGAACGACGTCATTCCTCTGTTGCACGTCCTGGAACAAATGCTGTTAACAATGGCTGGTCAGGGTGCGGTAGACGTGGCGCACAGATCTCAACGCCACATGACCCCTGTGGGGGCAGGACAGGAAGAAGAGGAGGAGGTAGAGGAGGACATTGGTGCTCAGGAATTATTGAGTGAAATGGGTGGTTTTTCCACTCAGCGGACAGGAGTGGAGGAGCAGGAGCATCTGGTAGAGGAGGAGGAAGAGGAGACAGAGGACCCAGACGCACCGTGGCAGTATGCTGTGGAGATGGAGGCAGGGAGTCCCTCGCATTCCTTGGCACAAATGGCCCATAGCATGCTCGCTTGCTTGCGTACCGACAGCCGAATAATAACCATCAGACAGAGGGATGACTTTTGGCTGTCCACCTTGTTGGACCCTCGCTACCGTTCAAAAATGGTGGCCTTTTTCACACCTGCTGAGAGGGAGGCCAAAATAACGTACTATAAAAACCACCTATGTAGTCAGCTGGTCTCTGCCTGTCTGCGCCAACGTCCATCCTCAGACACTGTGGGCCCTGTGCGCTCGCGTTCCGCTGCCATGGCAGCAGGGGAGGGGTGGGGTGGTAGGAGCAGTGGCAGCTCCACCAGCAGCAGCTGCCTCAGTCTGCAGTCGATGATGAGTAGCTTTCTTCACCAGCGCAGTGAGGAAACTACTAACCAGCAGCGCAGCAGCAGCAGCAGCATCAGGTGGACCTGGAGCAGGACCTCAAACAACAGGCTTAGGCCTACTTGGACAGCACCCTGCCAACCGAGGTAGACAATCCCCTTGACTACTGGGCAACGAAACTTGACCTTTGGCCCCAACTAGCTGAATTTGCCCTTGAAAGGCTGTCATGCCCGGCCAGTAGCGTGGCATCGGAGCGCGTGTTTAGTGCGGCAGGAGGTATTGCAACTCCGCGGAGGACACGACTGTCCACCCAAAGTGTGGAGAGACTGACGTTTGTGAAAATGAATCAGGCGTGGATTAGTCTGGATTTCAAACCACCAGTTCCTGACACAACTGACTAAATCCGCCATGAATCATGCCCCAAACATGTGCCACTTTCAGGTCTCCTCACACTGCTGGTGTGTTCCATTTTTTGTCATAGGGTGCTGGCAGATTACGGGCCTCCCATAGCTGCTGCCAGGCCCCTAATCTGCCATGGGCCCCTATACCGCCTCCCTCATGCTGCTGCCAAGTCCAGAGTCTCTCATGGGTCCCTGTACGGCCTCCCATTGCTGCTGTCTCCATCGCCACACGACTCTCTGCCATGTGCCACTTTCAGGTCTCCTCACACTGCTGGTGGGTTCCATTTTTTGTCATAGGGTGCTGGCAGATTACGGGCCTCCCATAGCTGCTGCCAGGCCCCTAATCTGCCATGGGCCCCTATACCCGCCTCCTCATGCTGCTGCCAGGTCCAGAGTCTCTCATGGGTCCCTGTACGGCCTCCCATTGCTGCTGTCTCCATCGCCACACTCTGCCATGTGCCACTTTCAGGTCTCCTCACACTGCTGGTGGGTTCCATTTTTTGTCATAGGGTGCTGGCAGATTACGGGCCTCCCATAGCTGCTGCCAGGCCCCTAATCTGCCATGGGCCCCCGTACCGACTCCTCATGCTGCTCTGCCAGGCCCGTAATCTGTCATGGGCCCCTGTTTGTCGCTTGTTGGCATATTCCGCTCGTTCAGATGCTCCTTCTGCCCTGCTACTTCCTCTTCACGGATTCCATCAGCAGTAATCTGCATGGGCCCCCGACCGGCCTGGTCCCTTTGGGGCCAAGTGTTG